GTTTTGATAAAGTAGGACTTTTCGTCAGAACACCGGATCCACAGGGGATCTATGTCTAAATAATATCGTTGCCTTACCTGGTTAACCTGAAAGTAACTTCCATCATCTTCTATCTGAATTTTGGCCACAGATTTTCCTTGTACCTTCTGTACCTTTACAGGTTTTACACATTCCTAACAAAGAGGTTAAACAGAAATGTGAGGGAGTAGCTTACTGAAATGAGACTTGCACTGCGCCACGCAGAAACGGCAGAGCGTGATGCCACGATTCCATTTACAAACTTGAATCCAAAAGCGATTTATTTTCAAGTATTACAACGACATCTGGGACCATACAAAAACACCGATTCGTGCCATTTCGAAAACTGCATGAGACGGACTTATTGGTGAGCATTTTGTTTTCGCTGTTTTCTAGTGAATAATAAAAAGGCATTTAAAGTGCGCCATCCTTTTGTAAACATGGGGATTCTGTGACACACGTCACTTGATTCCATTTGGCATTTATATTTTACCCAAAACACAAATTAATTCAAACAATATATATATATATAATTTTAAGTTTAAACATAGAACACTTAATGTTTGTTATGCCGGAACTTGTACACTGTCTTAAACAGTGACCCGGTTATGCAAGGACCTCGGCATTGCCATGATCTGTTTCTGTTATAATGTAGTTATCATTTAAAGTATTTACACAATAAGCATCGATTTTTAAGATACGTCAAACTCCTTTTTCGAACATCAAATCAACCTACTAGGCCATACAAATTGTTGAATAAAATCCACGTTACTGTTACTTGGACTAACACTGATAGATATAGAGTTCACATCCAAAGACATTCAATCACGAAGAAAACCGACATGATAATTATCTGTATAACGATGTCAAGCAGGCTACCTGAGACGGAGTGATATAGTCGTCCAGGTCAGTTAATTGCAATACGCTGCTGAAGTGGGAAGCCATGTTTCAGCTCGTGCCGGAAGCTCGATCGGCCTAAAAACACGTGCAACGCGGAATTCGGACCGGGCTGCAACTCTATTTCATTTTTCATGCTGTTGTGTGCTGTGTTCATCGTGCTGCATACCCCTGCAATAAATATTAGGAATACTACAATTGTTTGGTTCACTCAAAATTGTAACTTGCGTCATGTTACAGTCCGTTGCTAAAAATTAATTTATGAAAATTTATTGAAACTTTTCGTTCGTGCTCCGAATAAATCGATTTCATTTTGCTAAGTAAATGGACGAATAAAATGTATTATCTTAATTATCTTCGTATTAAGAGCTGTGTGATGGAACTGTTCATTTTAAGAAGTGTTGCTGTGGGGAATTATTATTAGTGAGCACATTACAGAAGCACTGCTGAATCGTACGTGTTGACTACTGTAAGACAGTTCTTTTGACATTTAAGATAAATGTTTCCGTCTTGTACAGTGTCTATCATAATTATTTTTCATCTTCTGTGCGTGATTTTATTCTAAAATATATTGGAGAAATAGGAAACTTGGTTGTTTATCAGTTCTGCCATTCCCTAAAATATTGTCAATGATCAGTATAGAATACATCATATCTTACCTTGGTCGATTACATTCTCTGCGTATATTTGTCAGAGGGGGTTAGTTAATTAAATGTGAAGGCAAATGGACATAAGTTATAAATGCGGCTTTTAATGCATGTTACGTTTAATCAGTTGTAATGCATTCTTTCAAATTTCAAACCCGTAGATCTGAAGAAGCTTGTTTTACGTGAAGATGAACGTGAACCAGGGGACTGTTGGCAGTGACCCAGTGATCCTCGCCACCGCGGGTTATGACCACACGGTGCGGTTCTGGCAGGCTCACAGCGGGATCTGCACCAGGACAGTCCAACACCAGGACTCGGTATCCTGAAGCAATGCACTTCTCTAAAACTGTACTGTAAATGTTTCACGTAATACCCCAATAGTGTTTCCCAAATTAAGTTTGACTTTTTCCTGCGGCATTATCAGGAGTTTTTCTGCTGTGCCTCAAGATTCAATACATCAATGACGAATCACCATAAACCACCATAAATAATTGTATGCGTGAGCGCTTGCGGAAAATAAAACTCAAAATCAGTCAATAATTTCCTTGACACAAATATTCAGCAGGTGAACTCTCTAGAGGTGACGCCTGACCGGAGTATGATTGCAGCAGCAGGTGAGTTGAGAAACTTTGTTTATTCTCCTGTGCAAACAGAAAATGCACAGGCAATCAAGCAGTCTAAGGGGATAATACCATATTTTAACATTTAGAAGCTATTAATTTTAAGGTGCTGTTGTTTTTTTAGTGAGGTGTCAGAACTATATTAGCAATATGCTTTATTAAGGCTTTTTCCACGCCTTTCAGGCTACCAGCACATTCGCATGTATGACTTAAATTCCAACAACCCCAATCCCGTAATCAACTACGACGGTGTGAGTAAGAACATCACCTCAGTGGGCTTTCACGAGGACGGCCGCTGGATGTACACTGGCGGAGAGGACTGCATGGCTCGTATCTGGGATCTACGGTATGCTTAGCTGCATAATTATCAGAATCTGCTTTTCACCCTCAGTTCATCAGGACATATGTTTCCCTGATAAGTAGCATTTTTTCAAATATACATGGTGAAAACCTCTTCATGTTTGTTGTTTCTAAACATTTTTGATAGTTGTTCGATATGTATTTTTATGATTATTATGAAAGACAACCACAAGAGTAGCATTGACTTAACATTCCATACGCAAGTTGATGTTGTTTTGTCACAGTATTGTAATGATGTTGGATATCATCAGTTCATTTTAGTTTATTTCTCTCTAAGGTCTAGGAATTTGCAGTGCCAAAGAATCTTCCAGGTCAACGCACCCATTAACTGCGTATGCTTGCACCCGAATCAGGTGTGTGACAGGTTGATGTATGTTTGCCGTTTCAGGGAATGTAGCTGACAACACATAAACATTTGAAAGCTAACATGCAGTACTTTTATGAACAGATTGATGCAGTGATGGAAGTAATTTTCGACATGCATACTACTTATGTATTTGTGTGCCTAAATGTCCAGGCAGAGCTAATAGTTGGGGATCAGAGTGGAGTGATCCACATTTGGGATCTGAAGACTGACCACAATGAACAGCTCATCCCTGAGCTGGAGGTGTCCGTTAACTCCGTGCACATTGACCCTGATGCAAGCTACATGGCTGCAGTCAACAGCTCGGTTAGTAGTCATGGTTACCATCTCCATTCTACAGGTTCCATCACACAAACAACTGTATCAAACAATTATGTTCTCATTTTGCTCATTGGCGTGAAATGTAAGTCCAAGATTGTGCCTCGGTATTGTTTTTGAAAAGATACAGTGGTACCTTGGTTCTCGAACTCACTAGAACTCGAATTTCTTGAAGGTCGAACAAACCAGTTTGACTTTTTAGGATTCGATCCGGAGTCCGGAACGGATTAAGTTCGAGAACCGAGGTACCACTGTATATGCTCTTTGTTCTCTGCCACAGGGAAACTGTTACGTCTGGAATTTGGCAGGGGGAATGGGAGATGAGGTAACACAGCTCATTCCCAAGACCAAAATCCCAGCTCACAAACGTTACGCTCTGCGCTGCAAGTTCAGTCCTGATTCCACGTGAGTGTAAACCTGCTAATTCCTAATGACAGAGATAATATATATATATATGTTTATAGCGTGTTTTCCAATGATGTGTACCCTATGATGGGTTGGTGGCCCTCCCGGGGTTGTTCCTTGCCTTGTACTCGTTGTTTCCGGGATAGGCTCATAGGTCAAGCGGGTGCATAGGACAAGCAGGTATGGAAAATGAATGGATGAATGTATGTTTTACTTAATTAGTCACAAGTCTCAGGAATACTGGAAAATTATATGCTGCTGTTTTTCATCTTCCTAGATTGTTGGCCACCTGCTCGGCCGACCAGACCTGCAAGATCTGGAAGACGTCTAACTTCTCCCTGATGACAGAGCTGAGCATCAAGAGTAACAATCCTGGGGAGACGTCTCGTGGCTGGATGTGGGACTGTGCATTCTCAGGAGATTCCCAGTACATTGTCACAGGTCAGACCTCTCCAGCTGAGTTTTCCTTCGCCTGTTACTCTTGTAGTGTGATTCAGATGATCCTGGTCTTGAGGGATCCAAAAGTCACCGGTTCAGATGCCTGCTATTGAACCCTTGTTGAGGGCCATTTAATTAAAATTAGTTCAGTAAAAATATCCATTTGATACGCAGTGAAAAGTAGAGGTGGAAAATTCAGGCCCAGAAAGTACAAGTCTAGACCAAGGTTTTGTTTCAACCAACCAGTTGAGTATAAAGAGTCACAATCACAGAGTGCTCAACTGTTTGGTTGAAACAAAACCGTGGTCTGGATTTGTACTTTCTGGCCCTGAACTTACCACCTCTGGTGATGTGACACATTTCCAACCTCAAGTGATGTTTTATGAAAAGTAGTTGTGTAGGATTGGCCACTTGACCTCTTCTGATTGGCGCAGCTCAGTAATGCCTCCACCTTTACATAATTTGCAGCATCCTCGGATAACCTCGCACGGCTGTGGTGTGTGGAGACAGGGGAGATCAAGCGGGAGTACAGCGGCCATCAGAAAGCTGTGGTGTGCCTGGCGTTCAACGACAGCGTGCTGGGCTAACGTGAGCAGCTGACTGCAGCACGGCACGCCAGTTACTTCACTGACATGTATAAGCTCAGGAGGAGAAGCATTGCTTGGACCCATCATCTATGAGGACAATGTCGTATATAGAATAACTATTATTTGCTCAGAAATATTACTGGTAAAACCGTGACCTGTGGATATTGTCAACATCTGTTTTCTCATATTATGTAATCCTGCAATGCAGGATGGGGAAAAGGGAAGTTCTGCATTTGAGCGTAAGACTCTCTAAAGCCTCCTTTCAGCCGGCCTCTCCGTTAAGAGCTGCCCTTTCTTGTGTGTCCATCTTGCTTTTGTTTTATTAAAATGTCACCCGGAGACAGAGTGGAATATTACAATGCAGCATTTTATTTGAAAGCAGAGACTTTAGCCAACAGAAGTGCATTTACTTAGTCATCAGCTGTAGGCTACAGGAAACGAAGACCTCAATGAATCTTTTCATCTTTCAAATTCCACTACAAAAAAAAAAGGTATAAAAGATTGAAAGGTGAGGATAAGGGTTGCTTGTTCCTGGACGGGGTGTTTAGTCTCCTCCTCCAGGGAGGTGGTTGGCCGGGGGACCGTGTGTGTGTGCCACCTCCTGCCCCCTCCCCATCAGTGTTTTCAGCTTGGGCTCTCTGCCTTTGTGATGAGGAGAAGGAGCACTTTGTTCCCTGGGCTCTGACACTCGGTTGTCGGCCTTTACTCAGGCAGGTAGTAGAAGCACACAGACACGCACACGTTGTTCGGGAAGCATATGTCTATACAAAAGTAAATGAGCCTTTGCTTTGCCGGACCTGTGGGGAAAAATAACGGGAGGGAAGGTGTCACAAAAAGAGAAAATCTGCAGAAAAGTGACAGGAATGGCACCTCAAAGTGCCCCAGTGTGTCAGACACTTAAACCTAAAGGACTATTCTTGTGGTATACAGTAGCTCTGCAGCCCAGGTTTAAGTTTCTGCCTCGTGTTAGCCTGCTTTTGCACTGCCACTGAGAACTGAGCCGCACCAGAGCCATACTGCAAACTGATGGTTTCCACTAAAAATTATGCAAGCCGTACCCACACTGCCATCGCCCTGCTTACAAGCAGCGCCGCAAGCACGACCAGACCGAGCTGGTTGCGTCATTAATACCTAGTTGGTCGAAATGCACAGAGATGCCAGTGATCTTTGTAGATATGCTTGGATTATCTGAAGGAAATAAGGACATATTCTGTATATTATGCATTACTAGTAGTATTGCATGTCGGGATGCATTTATGCATTCCCGATAACTCAGAACCTGAAAATTTTCAACCTCCTACTTATAAAGTACTATGGAACGGTTGAACTGAATGGATTCATAATGCAAATGTATGCAAGTGAATGCTAATTCCGCTAGCATTTAATGCTAACTTAAGACTGCCATTCTCACAGATATGCTACAGGAAATTGGCACATAGGTAAATCATGATGTACACTTTGAACAGTAAATAATTGTCTCTTCAGTTTCATCTCCCTGTTGCTCTCCAAACCTGGCAACACTTTTACTGAGCTGACCCTTCTGCAGTGGAAAACTGAATCGAGCTGGGACCGCACTAACTAGTGTCTCTTCACAGTACGGGTCAGGTATGGCTTGGTTCCAGTATGCCAGTGGAAATGCGCCATTTGCTTGCCTCTCCTCCTTATGGAGCTTGAGCACTCACAGCACATTCCCAAGCAAAGAGCTTTGTTCAGGGCTCTCACCGGCGGCTTTCCGGGCCCAGTAAGTCGAGCTTTGCAGACAGAGGGGCTGTAAGGGCTCTGGGAGGGACGCGGTGTCCACAGGCTTGCCCCCCAGCACTTCTAAGAACTCCGTGAATCTCTGTGTCTCATTCCCCAGAAACCAGAACTGACTGACCTGATGGAGAAAAGGTGAAACCAGTACAAATGAACTATCCCACATATCAGATAATTCCATCATATCTCAAGGCATTTACACATATCTACTAAACAAAATAGCTTTCATTCATCCATATCTAATTCAAGAAAGAATACAGGAGCATTTAGAGGTCAGATAACCCATTCTTTTACTCGAGGGTTTGTAATCTAAATCTTCCATGGTTCTGCTGAACAATAAAAATCTAAATTGCTTTTTTTCCCTAAAGAACACTTGCTTCAGAAGACAATTACAATTATATAGCCAGGTTGCCAGAGAAGAAAAATATGACTGAAAATGACTGAATTTCACTTGTTAATTCCTTTAAAAAAAAACAACTGGTGACTATATAATATACATTTGGAAGTCAACGGTAGTTGCCAGAGGTATGTTACAGTTTATGTTTGGCCATTTAACTCTGATTAAGCTTAAAGATGTGATTTAGTGGAGCGTCATAAAGTAAACCAAGCCGTCACACAGGTGCACCTGGACCGGCTCTGGCGTCATTAGATGAAGCTGAAACAGAGCGGTTCTGTGACGGACACACATCGCAGCACTCCATACAAACAGCCTGGCATCTTTAACCACAGCTTTCCTTTCCTGTCTTTTTCTTCCTCCATAAAGTGTCTAAAGGGGGAGTCAACAGAGTAGCCATTGTATACACGGTAACCTCTGCACTCCCATCCTGTAATGTGACCCGGGAGAGGGGAGGCGCCACAATCAGATAGGCTGAGGAATTTGGGCCCCAGCAGACAAAGCTCTCCACCTGACGTGGTCCGCTGACCCCTCCACCATGCGGGCAGAAGCTGGGCGGTCTGATCCGTGCACGTTCACAGTGGTGATGTTACATCGAGAGTGTTCCAGACCGGCTAACGAACAAGCTGCTCCAGCCGTTACTTGCAGCCGCAGATGAAAATTAGAGACCACTCTATTTTTAAACAAATCTGCATTTTTAAATCCTGGTTTAATTGTGGTTCTGCTGGCAGACGGCTACACTGAGCAGCAGGTTGCTTCCAGCTTCAAAATTTCTAAGACAGCAGTGCACAAGAATAAGGTGAAGCAGGAGACACTGGGAATGACCGAAAACCAGCCAGGTAAAGGGCAGAAGCGACTTTCTAATGTCAGAGATGACTATCAATTTATCTGAGTTTCTCATGAATTGGAGGATGACATCAAATGACCTTCAAAAGGAATGTGAAATATTAAGTGCAGGTGTGAAGTGCACTGCTAGTTCGTATCAGGCTTCTAGAAGCAGGACTGAAGTTCCTTAAAGCAAGGTAGAAGCTCTTCATTAATGAGAAACAGGGAGGCAGGCTGCAGTTTGCTCCCTCTCTCTCATATTTTTATGTATAGTTCACAGATGCACACCCATAAATTTAGAGATGAGTGATACAAAAAAATGTGCCGTGGTCTCAATTTTTTCTGCGGCTGTATGCAGGTCTTACTGCTCAGTGTGTGTATAAATAGTAACAGTTGTATAAGTAACTGCAGCTGTAATTTAGGACAGGGAGTAGGGGGTCATATCCCCTGTTTAGTCAGACTGGATTAGAAATGAGGGTGCAGATTTTTTTTTCCTTTTCATTTGAACAAACACTGAAAATTGCACATTACAGGTTTTACCTTCTGTGTAGAATCACCCAGAAGGGCCTGCAGATTTTCATAATCAGACGAGTCCATCTTGCGAAGAAAGCAGGTGTCCTGGCTGTCAGGCTTGTAGCATATGACCCCCTTATTAGAGAGGAGGAGAGTTAGCATCCCTTTCAGGATCACACAGCAGACGCTCTGTCCCTCAGCCGTTTACGGGGACAGGACTGGACTGGGACCCTCCCCCCGCCAGCAAAATTTATCATGGGGGAGATCCTAAAGTCCAGCCCTGCTTGTAGCCCTTATGTATGGTGGAAAGAAAGAAAAAAGTGCGAAAGGCCTCACGTGTCTGATGTCAAAGAGCATGGTGGAGGTGCGGTTGGTGCCGCCAGAGGTCACACTGTAAGTCACTGCGCTGTCACGCCGCTCCACGGTGGCCGACTGATTGACCAGGCTGCCAGTGCCGTCCAGTGCTGTGATCCTGATCACCTGTAAGGCAGAATGCGTGGGACTCGCAGCACTCCTACTCGCACGACCCCCATCGGCAAGAACAAAGGCGGACGCTCCCCTTTGACAGGGGAGCAGTAGAGACCGGACAAACACACCATTACGCATGTGTCTCTGTTTCAGGAAAACATTGCCTTTGGGTCTTTTATGCATATACTCTCACATTTTCCGTTTTGTACGAATGGACAAAAACTGCAGTTAAAATATGCAGATATATCTACTTTTCCCCATTCAAGAACTGAGATATTTGTGTACTTTGAGAAAAACAGCTCACAGTTCCTTACCTGTGGGCCGGGCCATCGAAAGGCCAGGCGTCCGGTGACACTGAGCACTATGATCACCAGGAGCAGGACTGCCGTCAGGCTGCCCCAAAGCGCCCGGTGACGGAACTGGATGGGCAACGCTGGAGACCCGTCCTGTGGAGGGTAAACTATGCTATAGCCTTAATGCTGTAGGTTTTATGTTCCCTCTATGAAATTCAGTTTGTAGGTAGACACTGCGGTCATTGTGATTGTACAAATGCGGTCACTGCACTCCTAACAGTAGATTAATCACATTTACTAATTTTCATACCTCTCATTACGTTGCATCTACAGGATGCTTTTCCACCAGATTTGCGCGTAATCCACTACCTTTTGCACAGGTAGTTATTTTAGTAAGGGATGTATTCGGGGGAAGAGCAGCGTCTTACCTCACACGGGGAGTCCTCCAGGCGGCTCGCAGTACAGCACCTCACCATCCTGCGCCCAGGTACACCTCTTCACTGTTCCCTCAGCTCGACTGTGAGCAGAGACGGGCCCACAATGGGCCAGGCAGCGGCACACCTGGCCAGATCCTGGCGTTCCCCGCATCGCATGGGCACACACGTGACAGCTAGAAACGCTGGCCAAGGACCCCGGCGTGGACAATGGACAAAAGGGCACGGGGATCTCAGCTGCTGCGGGCAGAAGCTGTCACCGAGCAGTCTGAGGCACAAAAACCTGAGAATGCGTCCACCCAGATGCTGAAAGACCAAGGTGACTCTGTGCACCAAAGCTAAAGCCCAGTAAGCTATAACCAATCAGCTTAGCTTGGCTTAGCACAGAAAATGTGAGGAACAGGTAAGGATCCACAGATTGGTCTTTGTTCGTTTTTTTTTCCCATCAAATTTATCAGAGCATCTGGGGTCATGCAACGTAGCTCTTAATGGAACACATAAAATAATACAGAGAGTAATGAACATTAACACAAGTTGATGTAAGAAAACTGGTAATACATGTAAATTGCAGTGTGCACTTCCTTTCATGGATATTTTTAACAAAAACTAATTTAAACACAAAAAGTAACATTTAAGAGAGAAAAAAAGGCTGTCCAGGTTTCTCATCCTGTTTTTATTGTATTCTCTAGTTTTACAATTGAATGTATAGATTGCAAGCAAATTTATGGCAATGAAGGCAGAAATACCAACTCCAACATGGAGCAACAGGAGGCACTTTGGTGCTGCTTGATTATTTTTTTCTGAGGTGTTATTTATCAGAAAATGGTTTGCATTCCGTTTACCAGTACTGCAAAATCAAAAACAAACATTTCTACACAAGTCTGATTTTTATTTGAAAGTCATAATTTATTTTATATTAGGATTTGAGTTTAAGCTGTTCATTGATGACCCATATTAAACTGTTTCCTTGTCTATACATGGATACTGCATTCTGACAAAAGTTCTTATATTCTAGTATGAATTTCGTAACATGAGGAATAAGCAAGTGTGACACTTGTGAACATATAGTATTCAGCTTCCTGTGCAAACAATTTTGTGCCATATAATTTGAATTTCAAAGCATAACCACAGCACACGTCGGATATGGCATGCAGTACATAAATCAGAGGTTAACCATTTTCATAAAACGTTTATAAAATGGATTTTAAATGGCTTTGATAGAAATCTCACAAAAACCAGATAACATCCTGATACATTAAAAATATATATAATCTCATAATGATCATTCACAAATAGAATTACATCTGATACAGCTGATAAAGTTCGGAAATGGAATCCGTGAAATTCATGTAGAAAAAGCGAAGATACACATATTTAAATGCAATGAACTGTATATCTGAAACGTGTTTCTTAATCCGTCCTGAGAGTGACGCAACTAAACCATTGCCACATAAATGGCAAACATCACTGGAATGACCACAGTCAGAAGCCCTCATGACTGTTACAGAGATAAAGAAAGCAGAACACAAATAAAAATCCTTTTCTTTTGTTACCAGGGGTCATCTGAGGAGACTGCACTGAAAAGTTAGATTACACTTTTAAAAAATATAGTTGTGCCATGTAACACCAAAAACGTTTTCAACCCAGGTATAACATTGCAAGAATGATTTGATTCATAGACATTTTCATTTTGACATTACTGAGCTCATTTAGGATGAAATGGCGATGAAATCACTTTCGATCCTATAAGTCTCTTTCAAAAGCATGTGGGTTTTATAAACTAGTTTTTAAACTGTCAATATCTAGTAATGTAGGAGGATAGCATCGGACTTATCTGGACATCCCATAGTGTGCAGCGGCATACAGAAATTTAGTAAATGTTTCATTCATTTCGGTTAATCTTCTGAAATCTATCCACTTACGCACATGTACATAAAGGACAGGATAAAATAAAAGTCTTCAAGTCTTCCACAATTTCATTGTGGGTTTTTAATAAATACACCTTTAAAGAGGCCTTGTTCGTATAACCTGAAGGCTGACAGAGTTCTTTCCGAGTTTAGGACCACTTTAATTAGAAGGAATTAAAAATAAATAAATAAATAACTAAATTGCAATCCTCTCACTTTCAAATGGGAATGACCAAGCTGTATCTAAAGTCAAGAAACCATGTGCTGCAACCAGTAGTGACTGCAAGCTTCTTACAGCACCTGAAAAGCTGTACATACCCGTTCTCACCATGCGTGTTACAGCATTTCGCCTTCAAGCTGTAAACTTCACAGCACCCAACTAAAACAAGCTGTAGGCCATTTGCCAAAATGTTAACAGCCATTAACAAGACATGACAAATTTCTCAGTAGTTTACACTTTATGCATAGGCACCTAGAAACACTCAATATAAATCCTTAACAAAACCAATACTTAAATGCAAACTTGCAGACTTAAGACTTAATACTGTCATTTGGAACTGAGTCGAATATATCTGCATAATAGTCAAAATGCTGGTTTCACCCAGAGGGAGGCGAACGGTATTTTTAAGATAAGGGACATTGCTTTTGACAATGTAAATTCAGACACATACCATTTTAAAACACCTGGCATGATTTGGGCAGTTAAAAGTTACAGTGTTATTTTGTGTCAGGACAGAATGAACCCAAGGAGCAATTCTGCGATAAGGGGACCTTATCGCTCTCACTCCACTTAAACTTATTTCACTCTTTGACAATATACCAGTCCAAACCCATGATCCAATCCTGGCAAGTAGTCAATGTCTTCCCACCCAGCAATTTGAGTTTATTTAACGGACAGATTAAAAGGTGTATAGTGCACTTTGTTCCATTGCTTTTGTCATTTTTACTACTGTGTAACGCGGAGAGTGAGAAGATTAGATTCTGGGTTAGGAAGCGGAGGAAGATCTAAGCCTGAAGGGCAGGCAGGAGCTCGGCAATGCTCTCCACAATGTAGTCAGGAACCATACCAAGGCGAAGGGGGCAGCCACTGCACCGATGCGCCTCTGCATCCGCGGCCGTGGACACCCCCGTCAGAGTGAGCAGCGTCTTCAGGCCACAGTTGGATCCTAACAGAATGTCAGTGTCCAGTCGGTCACCCACCATGAGGGTTTTGGCCGGGTCTAGGCCGTACTGACGGGCCACACAGTCAAACATAAATTTGCTGGGCTTTCCTATAACCAGGGCTTGACGCTGGGCTGCAGTCTCCACGGCTTTCAAGAGACATCCTGTCCCTGGAGAGGCATTTCATCTTTAGTGTTAACATTTTCTAACAAAATTAATACAGCAAATTTCGTTATAACAGATTATGATCTGAGCAAATGAAGGCAAGACTTTGTGACTTAAGACACGCTCAGAAAGGACACGAGAGCTTCCACGTACCTGGGACCGCTTTGCCTCCCTCCAACGGCAGCCGGGTGTCAGTGTTGGTTCCTACGAATAAGCACTCGGGGTTGCTGAGGTACTGCAGAGCTCTGTTCAGTTTCATGTAATTAAAATGCTCATCAAAGCCCACCACTACGGCTTTCACCTCGGGATCGAGAGGAATGTTGGCCCAGTCGATCTGAACACCCGTGATGGGGTCGGGACCGACCCCCACTTGTGGTATGCCCACATTCTGAAGCTCCTGCTTCATGGCATTGCTGCCGATAAGGTACACTTTGCCGTTCAGTTTCGCTTCGGACTTCAGGTACACCGCCGAGCAGAAAGCCGTTCCGAATACGTCCTCCTCAGAAGCATTGAACCCTAATTTGCGTAATTTATCGACGTACATTCTTCTAGTTTTCGTGCTGTTGTTGGTTAGGAAAAACACTCGCTTTCCGTTCTTCTTTAACAAATTAATGACATCCGCGGCGCCAGTGACGGCTTCATCTCCTCGCCATATGACCCCATCGCAATCAAACAGGACGCTCTCCACGGAGTCTAGCAACTCCCTAATTATGGGACCGCTAAGTCTTCTACATTTCGATGCCATGATTGGGAACGTGCGGCTTTCCAGTCCAATTAAGCACTTTTTCCTTTATCAGTGGAAAAACCAACAAGCCGCTACGGATCACTAACTAAATACCCATAAAATGAGATTTCTCAGTGAAAACAAACGAATCGCCGATTTAGCATAGATCGGGTTAAGCAGCAAAATAATTATTTTCTCGAAAGGGTCCCACCGGGATCACACCATGACCTTGCGCTCCAGCCGAATGCATTTCCGTGCCGGAGCTCTAAGATTACGCCGGCCCCTCGTGAAGAGAGCGCGAGACTTCCGTCGCCTTTCCGAAGTCTCGTAATTTGAATTCGGTTTGCGCACGTGATCGCCATCCCCAACGCAATGTCGCCTGTGTCACTCTTCTGCAATGTATCTATTTGTAGTGACTGGTAACGGTATTTAACCTTAAAAATGCGTTTTCCTTGTCATCTAGGCCAGTAAAATAAATATCTTGCGCATTCCGCCATGTTTTGTTAGAGGGATCTACCCGTTGCAATATTTGCATGCCCGTGTATCACGGGCATGCAATAAAGGACTATTAAAATAAAGGACTATTGTATGTGGACATCTGAGTTTTGTTTAATTAGAGCTTCAATGCAGTTCAATATATGGAGCAAAATTCGAAAATCTACCAACAGTATTTAGTCCGTATGCAACACAAAATGCATTTATTTCAAAATGCGAGGTAAAGTGGCCTTACACAGACGGAAGCATATCAACAAAATGTAAAGGCATATGAAACCCCTGTAAGTCAAGCATATTATATACTGACCGTTTAAAATAATTCAGTCAAAAACATGGATATATGTTGATTAAAAACACAAATGCACATATATAGAAACAAACATTAAAAGGTTACTGAAAAAGTATTACTTTATAAGAAAAGATACTGTTTACGTTTGCTTATCCAGCAAGTTGCTAACTTCCGTGTCTCCTTGGAAGGTATCCAATCACTTTCCATCGCCGATATTTTTCCATTCATCCATTTCCCATACCCGCCTGTACGTGAACGTGAATCTCACTTCTGCGAAACTTGGCGTTTAATACCTTTCCCTCGACTAGGAGTATTAATGCGGGAAGAGCAGCTTTAGCGAGGTACCGTACCAGCAGGCTACGCAAAGCTCCCCGCGTGCCCTTTTGTTGTTATGACTACGGGGTCGTAAATCCGCCATGTTTTCCCTCTCTTAGAGTTGCGACAGGGACGGAGAGTCCAAACATGAGTGTGGAAAATAATAATACGGCAGAAACAGTGTCTGAGCAAAGCGTACCCACAGGCAACATCATCACCATCCACACGACTCTCGGGGACGAAGGTAACTCGAATCGTTTACGGTGTTTTCCTCCAGACACCAATCGCATAAAGAAAATACAATAGTATTGGGCGTATGAGGAGGCCTGCTCCAGACAAATAGGCTAGCTAGCGATGCACTGTAGCGTTAGTTTGAACATCTAGCTTAAGTGCCGCAGCGTTAGCTGCCTAGTTAGCACTGTAAAATATATCACGTTTTCTTCGCCTGCGTTAATTTAAATGATCGTATTAAGTCATTGGCCACGCCGTGAAATATGCATTGTTCAGAAACTGGGAAAATGTCAATGTTTTGGCTCTTTGGCGACAGATTATGTGTCTAGCCATTGCACACCGTTGGCTAACCTTGGGAAGTAGTTTTTAAACTTTGTAAACCAGATCGTGGTGTCGCTTCTGAAAATGGACCAGACTTCTAGATTGCTGTAACGCGTTTACTTAGATGTGCTTGGATCCTGTAACATTTTATGGCAGATGAGGATGTACACAAATGTGGAAGATGTCAGGGGGAGTTTACCTTTTTGGAGGCCTTCATCCAGCATAAGCTGCAGAATACCTGTCAGCGCGTGCAGGAGGCGCCGCCTGACTCAGACAGCAAGGGGGAAACGCAGGATCTCAGTCAAGTGGTAAGCATTTCATTCCTATTTATAGCCTCTATATACAGTATGATCATTGATAAAACATATTGCATTTAAATTTGGTTACAATGAAACATAAAATGTTACATTCTCAGTGTCCCTGGTTTGAATTTTTTTGTGTGTGTATGAAATGTGATTTAAAAATACATCGAAATTGTTACATTTAAACTTTTTTGTCTTCCATATTGAATTAAACTTATGAATGTTGCCAGTGAAGGGCAACACAACCTTTGTAAAATTAGCAAGGAATTGTGTTTAGATATTTCTAATTGAATAACAAGACAGTCAACCAGTAGTCTAAACACGTGGGTATTAAGGTCTTTAAATCAGGATTTATTTTGTATTTTTGCTTGTTTATAACCTGGCAGGTCGAGCTGGCCGACATAAACTCTATTAAGGCAGAAGGGATAGAAGACAGTACCATTTTATTAGAGAAAACAGAGAGGCTAAGGAAAACAGGTCAGTCTTCCCACACAAACATTGTGAATTGTGGCCCTTAGAGGGATTAAGTTACCGCCACCGTGTTAGCTTTAATCTTCGTACTGTTTTGGGAAAATGTGTTCCTCAGCCAGTTATGGTTTGCTGTTTGTGTTTGTCTCATGCTGGACATTCGTCATGCTGACAGATCAAGGCAAGAGCCTCTCACTTTCCTCTGTGGGACGCCGGAGAAGGAGCAGTGCAGCCAGGAATGTTCCTTTGAGTCCTGATGACCAGGTCCCCGACGACAGTGGAATCACAAAGATTGCCGTTAAAGTCAATGATGAAGGACGCTATGTCTGCTACCTATGTGAGAAGACCTTTAAAACGGTAATTTAATGATATGATTTAATCATTAAGCAGAAGCATTTAATCATTAAGCAGAAGCATAAATGGGTGTATTCCATTTTGCATTTTGTAGATTTTTGCTTGGAAAAATCATTTTCACATTTGTCTGCTACTTCTAGGTTGCACAGTGCTTAGTAACTGCCAGTGTAAATGTGATTAAATCCTGTTCCTGTTTAACTGAAGGCAAACATCCTACGAACACATTTAAGCACACACAGTGAGGAGAAGAACTTCCATTGTAAATTGTGTGGGAATTCCTTCAGGACCAAGGGCTCACTGATTCGCCACAATCGTCGTCACACAGGTGGGTGAGGCAGCAGGAAATACAGGCATTAAAACTGGATCTTACCGTAGCAATCGAATTTGAGAACAAGTGACATTTTTGTAATTTACAACGTCACTGCTTATCTGAATTATTCATTCATTTTAAGTCATTCTGACTTGTTAGAGCATCATTTGCCATGAGCTGCAATGAGTGTACTGTGCAGCTAAGGTCTGTAAGTTCTCCAAGTTTCATCCCTTTGACCATATTTGCTCCAATGTCTCGAAGCACAAGCAGTACACGGTCTTTGCTAATGTTCCATTTCTCAAGCATGGCAAGGAATGTGTCACTAATGTATTGGCCTGTGTGGGATCCATGCATTGCTTGAGTATTTAAAACAACCTGTCTTCTGTTCCACTCATTGTCAATGACGTGACATGTGAGGCTCATGAGACTCTGTTGATCCTGACCAGCAATCTGTTGTGAAAGAGAGTGAGTGGCCAGCATTCTCAGGTTGGATCATTACTTTATTTTTGTCAACAACCTTTTGGTGAACCTCTTGCAGCTTTTCTGTGCGATAGTGCTTTTCACTTTTCAGTAAATATTGTGGCTCCACTGTGGCCATGAGGCGCTTAAAGCCAACATCAGAGACCATAGTAAATGGTTGTTTGTCATCGATTATCATCTCTGTAATTACCTTGTCTGCAAGTTGAGATCTCTCATCAGAATTTGGCCATTTTTTTGTTTCTGAAACATATCATGCAGTGTGGGCTGAGAGGGAATCGTTTTGCTCTCTTGTTTTTTCTGTGTGGTTTCATACAACTCATGATGATGAGTCCTCAGATGGGACCACAGGTTGGACATATTTATGGTTTTTGCCGCAGTTCCTCCCATGCTTATGCTTGCATTGCATGTATTGCAGATAGCCTTCCCTGGTGTTGTGGAATGAGTAAAATAGTTCCAAACAGCGCTTTTTGGTGTTTTCTTTGCATGCAAGTAATTACAGTAAGGCTGCTCTATTTAAAGGCAACATTAAATTGACTTGTAAATGTAAAATTAATGGCTAAATTATTCATTATACAAATAAAAAGTGTATACTTTTTAGATTCTTAAGTATTCATAACAGAGTTGGTCTAAATAAAGCATCTAATAAAAACTATAAGTCTGAGCTGGACAAATCAAATAAAAATATTTAAAATTAAAAGGTTTATCAACCATTAATTCATTTTGCTTAATTACATAAGAGAGTGAGTAAATATTGATAGGTAAACAGTCCTTCAAATTCTGCAATGTGCAGACATTATTTCATTTGTCTAGTCATTTAATTGACATTAGTTCTAGCACCACCATTGTGTGTATGCAGCTAATTAATAAGGCTGATTGTTTGCGTGTTGGTGAAAATAGGGGTGGACAAGTATTTTGAAAAATTTCATAAGCCCTGGTAATTCTATTAACACTTGGTTATTACAGGTACAGTCAAACCTCGGATTGCGAGTAACTTGGTTTGCAAGTGTTTTGCAAGACGAGCAAAATTTAAAAATAAATTTTAACTTGTTAAACGAGCGAGGTCTTGCAATAGGAGTATTATGTATACGCTTTGTCTGCCTGGTGTCACGTGATCACAACTGAGCCGATGGTTCCTCTCTCTCTCTCGCTGCGGGATTGTGGGTAATCGTCTCATGCTCGGTCTCAGTCGCGTGCCTCACTCGTATAGTCGAAATAAGTAGAAATAGGTAGAAAAGCACCACCACTGCTGCAGAGAACATACTCCACATCGCCACGCTTCCCCTCCGAACTTTCCGGATTTCTTCGCACGCTTTGATTGGAGTCTTTCCCCAGGTTGATGCTGAACATAATGTTTCCCATCTGAGTCAAATAAATTGAACTTGCTTTCATCAGCGATATGAAATTTAAATGTAATTTGAATAGTTTTCACTGATGAAATATGATTTTAAATACATCCTCTCTATTCATGTTACAACAACGGCAAATTCAGATAAGTGGTAACTTTGTAAATTACAAAAATGTCAGTTCTCCAAATCTGATAGCTGCTTTATTTAGAAATGTCCCTTCTTCGAAAAATGGCTATTCCTAGCATTGAAACTGTACAGTGTTGCAGACTCCATTTAGTGAACTAATCTCTGTTTATTATTTTCCAGACGAACGTCCTTATAGGTGTAATCTCTGTGGACTGTCCTTCAGGGAATCGGGGGCTTTGACAAGACACATGAAGTCCATCACTCCTTGCACAGAGAAGATCCGTTTTAGCCAGTGTAGAGAGATTCTGGTCCACAAGGATGGCATGCAGAAAGGTATTTGGGCATGATTGTTAGCCTCCAGTTAAATTTTATGCCATTTACTGGTCCACAGCCCGAGTTTGTATAGTAATTATTTTTAATGTCAGACAAATTGGGGCATATGGTAGGAGTCCACATACAAATTTTAGAGACATGCTTACTCAGAACATAACTGTGCAGCATGATGGGAAAAGTGGCCCTGCACTCTTGTTGTTTTCAGTACTATGACTCTTGTCGTGTTTTTGGTTGAGTCCCAGGGTTCCTTAAACATGGACTGAGTGGCTTTGTGCTGATTTCTTTTCAGGGCTGGAGGAAGAGCCCTCCTACCCCGTTTCCCTTAAGGAGGATCAGGTGCCTGTGGTTAGTGTGGTGGAGAACTCTGAAGAGACCATTCATGAGATGCAGGTGCAGGTGAGAGCAGACAGCCGTGGGCAGCTTTGCTCCGCCCACTCGCTCATTCCCCTTTTATAATAGCATTGTCCTTTAGCTCACAGCTGAAAGGAGGCCTTCATTTGTTTTCCAGGGATGTCATCAGTCGTGTCTGTGTGTGTGGGTTTGTATTTACCATATTGTGGGGACCAAATGTCCCCAAATTTGTATGAAACTTTATAACTTGTGGGGAAATTTTTCAGGTCCCAACAATATAAACCTCAATTTTATATATATATATATATATATATATATATATATATATATATATATAAAAACCCCTATTCAATCAAAAAACTAAAATGCATAAAATTATATTTTCTTTGCCTACTTATGATTATGGATGGGTAGGAATTGTGACTGTTGTGATAGTTGGGATTTTCCTGTAGAAATGAATGTACACTGCAAGACATGCAGTTACAGAGGGTGTTCATATTTACGTGATATTGCATTCTGGATCATGATTCTGGATCATCTGAGATCTCACACAATTCAGTCATTATTCTATTGTTACTTTTTATTGTCTATTGCTGTCAGTGTTTATTATGATGGTGTTGACCACTGCGTTTTTCTGCGGGTTATTGTCTGTATACTTTGTATGTGGCGGATAAAACTCTTGAATCCCTATTAGTAAACTTGCATATTTTAAACTCAAATGACACACAAACCCACTGTATTGCATACGCTTCTCTCGATTTGACACAATATTTCATTTAATTTAATTGCTTTTCTTTACTCAGGAACAGCTTGAGACTGTGCAGGTATCTGAAGGGGACAGCTTGATCAGCCAGGCCATAATGAATTCTGGGATTGCTCTCGAGTCTGACAAGAGCCAGGACAAGTCTCCTAAGCCCCCTTTCCAGCACCAAGACCCTGAGAGCAGGATCACAGAGATCCAGGTCTTGGAGGAGTGTGTGGAGATGGACTCCGATGACACGGTAGGAAACGGGATGAGGTTGCCTGAGCTTATTATCTACTGCTGGTATCACATATGGTGTAGACTAGTTACAGACCCACATGCATGTTTCTCTAAGAAAGCAAGGTGAAACCAGCCTAAGAGCGACTTTTCTGCATTCTGCTGAAGGATGATATTCATACTTGTTTTTTAAATTCCTGTGTTTTAAATGCTCGTTTTCAGGATCCTGTGGAGAGCCAAAGTGACTCGCCGCCTTCAAAAGGCCACAGGTGTGTTCACTGCAATCGGGTCTTCAAGGCTCTCAGCTACCTGCGGACACACGTCAAAGGCCATCTCGGTAAGGCCGTTATGCCCGGCGTAGCAGTCATGTTCGTTCTGCAGCATAAGCTCCTCCCTCCAGATTCAAGCCAACCTTTCTGGTGACTGGAAGGTCACCTGTGTGTCTTTGTTGGCTGGGAGAGTGATGCCACTGTTGGGCCCTTGACAAGACCCTGAACCCTAGTTGCTCCAGGGGTGCAAATTTGCTCTCACATGTGATTAATCTGTGCATGGATGAATGAAGTATCTCCAGTATTCTATGTTCTATTCTATATGTAAAAAAACAACAACAATGTGTGTGTGTGTGTGTGTGTGTGTATATGTATAATATGTATGTATGTGTATGTGTGTATATATATATATATATATATATACACACA